ATCAAGCAGTAAAAGCTCCTACAAAGCGTCTTTGAGATCGTTTTTGAGATTATCCTACAGTTATAGAAGACTAATAAAAGCAGCGCTAATAAATAATCACTTTAATTTATTTTGTGTACTTTCTGCCGTCACAATAAGAAAACATTATAAACAAAAGAAAAACCGCGAAGAAGTTAAGACACGAAAAAGGCAAAAACTTTTTGACATAACTGAGGTCCGTGAGCGGTGAGAAGAGGTGAGTGAGATTCATACGCTCACGAAAGATTCCATACGTGCTTTTTGTCGAATGCTTGCCCATGGGTATCAGTTACCAAAACTGGTGGAAATGTGTTTATGCATCGTTTACATCACTTTGCAGAAATCACAAATTGTAGCATTAATATACTACTATTAACAACATTTCGAACACCAAATTAAAGTTTATTAGTAACATTTTGTTATTGTTAAATAGATATCACCAATTACTTAGTACAGTCCTATTATTCTCAATTAGCATTAATATTAATGCTAGTTAAATCTAATTAGGAAATATGTATGCGACACAGAAGATATGTGCTCAAAAAATTTACAGCATGTGATATTAATGGAACTGATCAACCATGGGAATTCATAAAAATGTGGCTGTTGCTGTTCAATCACATTTTGTAGCAAAGAATGAAAAACTCAAAATATTAACAAACTGACATTATCTGTCTCCAATGTTAGATTTTGTGATAGTGAATGGCATATTCGCAACTAATTATTTATTTCTACCTCTCAACTTTAGGGACATTATTGGTGGTGGGATGATGAGGGTGTTGAGTTTGTGTTTATTGACTCAAATCGTTCACCTTTTAAAAGTCGGAAAATTTTGTAAGCTGCTGGCTACAACACAGACCACCATGTATACAGTATACACCTTAGTGTTCAATCGTAGGTGTAGACAATAAAAGAACGCAAAACTCCATGTATACAGTATGTATTATTATAACTCTGTAAGAATCACATCGTCTTATTCTTAAAGTAAACGATCACAAAACTCAAAATCAAAACATTATTATTAAATACATCTAGAGATGATTCTTCGAAAACGCAAAGAACAGCTTTTGTCTCCCGACGATCGAGAGAATGTATTAAATAGAATACACAAGTTCCTCCTCACCACCTTGGCTGATGAGACGAGTTTAGGAAGAATACCCACAGACAAGTTTGTCATAAATAAGGTCTGTTGGAAAAAAGTTATATGTTAATCGATCTTCGTCATCAATCACTAATAACTCAACAACAATAATCATATGTTCACGAAATTCACACATTCGTTAAACATAACTGTTGAC